CTCATTATTGACTGTGTAACTGGCCAGTGACTTTCATCCTTTCCTCAGGTCCCTTCCTATCCCAGTGCTCTGGGGGGAGGGATAGAAAAACTGCATAAAAGGCAGCATTGTTTGAACTGCCCTGCTTTCTGCCTTGGTGTCAATTGAGTTGGGGCATACCTTAACACACACAGTGTCACTCACCCACTTCACGAGTTTTGCCTGTCAGCAACCAGAGGTGCAGGGCCCCAGAACCCAGACTCCCCCTGCACCTATCTCTTTGACAGCCAGCAGGCTGTGTGGCCGCAGCAGGACATAGCAGGCCTACAGTTTTCACCCCATGCCCCAAGATAGACACAGTCCCACAAGCACCCATGTCACAAGTTTTGCCTGTCAGCAGCCAGAGGTGCAGGGCCCCAGAACCCAGAAGCCCCTGTACCTTTTTCCTTGAAAGCTGGCAGGCTTTGTGGCCTCTGCAGGGGCTACCATTCCTGCAAGTTTCATCCAAATCAGACCAGAAATGACAAAGTTATAGGCTGTTTTGAGCTTCCCCATTACAGCCTATGGGCAAAACATCAAAACAGAGAAACTGTTTTGATAAAATGAAACAGAACAGCGGTTTCAAATCGAAACAAAAATCGAAATGATGTTCCATCGAAATGTCGAAACAGAACAGTGCCATTTCACACAGCACTAGTATGCAAGTATCTAAGCGAGCTAGACTTACAGCAAGGAATCAAGTCCCGGGCATACCATATACCTAAGTTCTGTCTTCCCTCCCACCCTGGTTCAATTACATTCTGGAACATTTAGGCTGAGAGTAAGACCACCAAGATCAAAACCTCAGCATAAAGAGAAACCCAAGAGGGGTGGAGGCTCTCCACCGGGAGACCTGAAAGAGAACTGCAGAGGTTGTTGGGTCTCACAACGTATTACCTGAGGATTAATGCTTGCCTAGAACTCTTGCACCCTAGAGACAAGATTTGTGAGGCCTTAGTACAAAGACATAAAAGCTGTTTACAAACCCTACTAAGAAAGATCAGAAAGCATGAAGAAACGGCACTGATGGGAAAGGTTCCCAAGAAAAGGGTTTGAAAATATTTGGCTCATTAATACACCAAGAAGAAAGATATTTTTAAGCTGTTAGTAATAGGTAAAATTATCCCAGACAGAAGAGGAAGACAGAGATTACCAGAAGGTAAGGCATGCTACAAAGATGCATCCTGTACATATCCTTACCATAAAGGCAAACTATTCATTTGCTCTATACTGAAATACTCCATACAAATTAACAGACAGATGCCGGAACTGCCCCCCACCTACTTTTAAAAATACAACACAACTTCAGCTTAAGCCCATATTGCACACTGTCACAAGCTCATAAAATACAGTCATGCACATTTGTAATAATGTACAATGTAAGGCATGATTAAGCAGGGACAGGAACAATTTTGAAAAAAAAAAAAAAAGAGCTGTTTTCCAGTTCTGCATTCAAGAAGACCGAGGCTCCCAGAACTTTTCATTTTCAACCACAACCAGGAAGTGTTGTTTAGCCAGAACTTCAAGTGTCTTGCTCTTTTAAAATTTAACTCAGCAACTTGTCAGGAAACATCACGTAGTTGAATGTCATCTGCCTGGAATAGATCTTTTGTTGGCCCACATGACCTGGATTAACAACAATCCAGAAAGACAGAAAAATCCTTGGATATCAGAGACTGGAATAACAGCACACTGGCTAAAAGAAAACTCTTACAAGCTCATGGGCACACCGTACAGAATCTAAATAAAATGTCAGTTTCACCATCGCTTAAGAACAATTTGATTTTCTTCTCTAGCACTTTTTTACGGCAGAGATTATTCTTCTGCATGCTTCAGGCTTACTTCACTCCCTAAAGTTGGGTAATAAATCCTGACTGCTGTTTTCCTTCTAGTATGTTGGCTATGCAGGACTAAAAGTTTCATATCTATCAAGAGAATCATTTATGACATTTAAATTACTAACACCCATGATTAGTACACAGGCACAAACAGCATAAGTATCCCTGAGGCTATAACAAAGAAAAATGGGGCAGACTGGATTTTTAGTTTTAAGTACGTAATTACCCAATTGCACCTGCGCTCAGAGGCCTGAATCAGAATCTTCCATTATATAAATACAAAAGAACACATAGTTTCCTAACCAAAGAGTTTAGCATGGTTAACATAACTTTTTTTGGCTGGTGAAAATTCACTTTGTACAAAAAGTCACAGAACAAATCACACCCCAAGGTACAAGCTCCTAGGATAGTGATTCCCAACAAGGGTGCTGGAGCAATACGTTCAAGGGTACCAGGCAATGGCACCTGATGGATTCTCTTGATGAACATGAAACTCTTGGTCCTGCAGAGCCAACATACTAGCAGGAATGCTTCAGAGAGGATGGAGCTATACTGCTGTCAGTGGTAGCAGATGACCCCCACTGGAGCAATGGCCTCAAGTTGCAGCAGGGGAAGTTTAGGTTAGACATAGGAAAAACTCTCTCTCACTAGGAGGGTAGTAAAACACTGGGACAGGTTACCCAGAAATGTGGTGGAATCTCCATAACTGGAGATCTTCAAGACCCGGCTAGACAAAGCTTTGGCGGGGATGATCTAGTTGGGGATGGCCCTGCTTTAAGGGGTTGGACTAGATGACCTCCTGAGGTCCCTTCCAGCCCTAATTTTCTATGATTCTATGAAAACAGCAGTTAGGATTTATCACTCAGGCTACTGCTGTTAGATGTGTAACCACAATTCACTAGATAAACCCAGAAATTTCAAATAGGAAACCACAGCGTGAAAACCACCCTGCCCTGCTGCGGTCTCACCGAGTTCTCTGCCACAACAGAACTGCTCCAGTATTTTTCTGCAGGCAGAAAAGAAATGAGCAAAAACAAAGAGTGGATGCTTTCCGAGGGGTGGTCCTCAAGCCTCACAAGGCCGAGAACGCCTGTTTGAGGAGAACACTTTAACTTCTCCTGCATCAAATGCAAGCGCCTCTACTCTTCCCATGCAGGATTCCCTCCTAGGCCAGTGGCTGCCTTTGGGCGGGGGGCTGGACTCGATCTTCCAAGGTCCCTTCCAGCCTTAAAGTCTATGAAAGCTATGAAACACCAAGAAAGGAGAGCTACCACACTAGCGTGCTTCTTGCCCCTTGGCCGCCCCAACCTGTCAGGTCACAGTCTTGCCAAGGCTCAAAGCCCTGCATTCATGAGGTAAGGCCCGTCAGTCTTACCTCAATCCTGGGGAAACTCTTTGAGAAGATCATCAAGGAACACATTTGTGATGGGCCGGCATCAGAAATGATGCTCAGGGGCAATCAGCATGGATTTATTAGGGGGAGATCATGTCAGACCAACCTGATTGCCTTCTACGATCAGGTCACAAAGGCCATGGATGCAGGTGTCGCAGTGGATGTAGTCTTTCTGGACTTCAGCAAGGCCTTTGACAC